GCACTTACTTAGATGCAGGCAATACACTTATACACTTAAAAAATAAAAAATAATAGGGAACTGACAGTGATTCTAGCCACTCTAACAGCTATCAAAGTGTCTGAAAACAAATCCTGAGTCCATCACTCTCCAGTCAGGCCATGGCAGACTGCTGGTGCCAGCTGGCCAAGATGGACAGTACCTGAAAGGGGGAGTGAGGATTGAAAGAAAGAACAAGAGACAGAAAAGATACTTGGGAGGGCTAACAGTGGTGCCTGCAGCCCCGGTTTATTTCAGCTCTGCCTTTTTATACAGAAGACTCAATTCCTATCAATAGCTGTTTTTCCCACCTGTATCTGAGGGTCAAGGAGCAGTCAAATACTTCAAAGGCTTCTTTGATCTTTTTGTTTACCACTATTGCCTCCAGGTCAGATATTGTGAGGCTCTCGCCCATATAAACACATTCCTCCTGATTAGGCAGATTAGATACTGGTGTGTATAACACAAACTCAGTAAACAAGGCTACCACAGCTCAATGTACATAATAGACTAGCAGCTCCCAACAGCAGACAAAAGAAAAATGAAGAGGAACCCAATAGAGAGATGCTTTTGGAAGCTCTCACCAAGAAATTCTAATGGATTCTGATAGAACATTTGAAATTTGCCGTTTTGACTTTTTTCTTGTTCCTTGTCTAGAACTTGTAATGCTAATTACTCTTGCCATGAGAGCTCTTAACTAACCCCTAAAAGATTTTAGGGTTACCTCTTCAGAGGGGAGGATGTTAGAGTAGTGAAAATCTAAAGGAAGGAAGGAAGGAAGGGAGGGAGGGAGGGAGGGAGGGAGGGAGGGATTCAATTTTGGAGTCTTTTAGATAGACCCACTGAAGGCGTACTCCAATTGCCTCACCCTGCGTTCCTGTTCAGCATGGAAGAAGCCAGAGTAGTCTGCATCCTGATTCCCTATCAGCAAACTGGGTAACCTCTTCAGGGGATGGTGTGATAAGAATAGGAGGTAGGAATTGGTTAGGCAGTTAGGGTAAAAAGACCCCAAAGAAAAGTAGTCAGTTTCTTGGCTAAAAATAACATGTCCTTGGGCCTCTTAACAACATACTCAGTTCCAAAGGCCAAAAATGTCAAAAGTATTTGGGAGCTCTTATCTAATCTCTAAAAGATTTTAGGGTTACCTCTTCAGGGGAATGTTAGAGTAGCAAAAAGCCCCATTTAAAAAAAGAAAAAAAAAAAAGAGTACGTGAAGTTGTTCAGGAAAAAGTGATGGTGAGATATGGGAGGAGTTGGAGGGGAGGAAGTGGGCGTGGATTTGATCAAAACACCTTATATGCATGTATGAAAGTCTCAATTTTTTTTAGTTAAAAAAATAAAAATATAAATATTTTAAAAGTTGGAACAGCTGGTAATTTTTGCTATCTTTAGATAAAAGTTTAGTTCTCTTTCACAGAAAAGAAGCCCAGATACAGACAGTCCAGGGCTGACTTGACTTCATAGTCCAAAAGCACTGACCCCTTTATCCTCCCTGCTGCCCAGAATACAGGTATGATGGCTGGTACTGCAGCAGTGACAGTGGACCAAAAGGCAATCTTGAGGATGGCAGAGAAAGTGGAAAGAGGCCTGGAGCTCTGAGAAATCAAGAATTTCAGTTTTGTTTAAGGTGCTGTAATTTTAGATCTTTAGGTTATAAAGTAAAGTAATGCTAGCAGGGACCGATGAGTTTAGAACAAGGTGAGTTGGCTCAGTTGGCACTGAAGTGTTGAGCTGTTAAAACAGAAACAGTCATAGCAGTCCTGGGTATAGCTGAGAGTGCCAAGAATCTAAGGTCGGAAAAATGGAGAGCAATGCAGAACCTCACAGAGTACCAGTCAGGAGAGTAAGGGAGACTTGGCCGCAGAGAGCTCCCACCTTCCCAGGCAGAAATCAGGAGGGAAGATCTTCATTAACATGGCTTCTTAACCCCTGCTGTGCCCTTGTGTACATACAGGCCTTAAGGGTCAGTTTCCACATGGACCAGAAGGAAGCTCCTGGAAGTTTAGTCACTTGTTAATCTCTTCTTTTGTCTCAGTGCCTGCAACAGTAACAGGTCCCAAATATTTACAAGCTGAACTGGTTGGCAAGGAAGCCATGGACAGGGAGGGGTTCAGGGAGTAGTGAAGGGTCTGATGTTGACAGCAGTCAGGTAGGCTGGGGCCCAGGAGGGCTGTTGACACATGGCTCAATGTATCAGGACACTGGTAACCTTGGGAAGAAGTGTTCTTCTGGGAAGGTAGAGGTAGAAACCATCAGCTATGGGGCAGGGAGACTGTGCTATGGATAGGATACCTTCCTCTTGGGAAGGAAAAGGAGAGACACAAGGGAAGAAAGCTGGGGGTGATGTTGGCAGAAGGAAGAATGCTGGTGCGGGGAGGGATGCTGGGGAAGGAGGGAAGCTGGAGGAAGGAGAAACGCTAGAGAGGAAGAGATACTGGCGAGGGATGATGGGGATGGATGGATGCTGGAAAAGGGATAGATGCTGGGGGAAGAAGCTGGAAGAGGGATGGATGCTAGGAGAGAGCTAGATGCAGAGGAAGGAATGGATGCTGGGGGTGGAGGGATGCTGGGGTAGGGACAGATACTGTTGACCTTTTCTAGTTAGCCATATTCATAAGCAGAGAATAGGGACCTGAGATGGAACCACCCCTGACCTCTACAGGATGCTACTTGCCTCACCAGCAGTGATGACACTGTTGACATTTCAGTATTGAGCACACTGTTTAACTTCTTATGCTTTATGTATTAAAGTCTTTCCATGTTTTCCCCCCAACTGAGGCAGGGTAGAAAGGCATGGAGACATGAGAAAGGAAAGGAGCCCCTCACCCAAACATCTGGTTGAAGCTGTCTCAAGAATTTTCAAGCAATTAACAACTGCCTTTCTCCTTCAAAGTCATAAACCTGAAATTTTCTAAAAATCTCACCAGAAATCCCATTTTCAGAGAAAGGGGCTTCTGGGATTTTCCTCCCTCACACTTCGTTTTTTAAAAAAAAAAATGTATATAATTGTGTGTGTGTGTGTGTGTGTGTGTGTGCCTGCGTGTGTGCATGCTATAGTGTGCATGGAGAGGTCAGAGGACAACTCTCAGGTGTCAGTTCTCTCCTTCCACCTTTATATGGGTTCTGGGATTGAACTCATGGGACCAGGCTTGTATGGAAGGTGCCTTTATCCACTGAGCCATCTTGCTGGCTCTAGTTTTACCTTATCAGACTATAATTTCATCCAAGACCTCTCTGGAGCCACCTCACATATCTCTCTTATCGAGAAAGAGAAGGAAAAAGGGTTTCTTAGCAACTTTTTGAAATGTAACCTGAGAGCCACCAAAATGGTATATATAATGGCTAATGCTAAGATAATTAATCATGTATGCTTCCTTGAGAAGGCTGTACCCACACCTTGGAATGTCTAACTTTCCCCTACTTTCTATAAGGAAGCACATATCTCCACCTGGATGTGACTTTCACTACATATTTTTTTCTGTGTTGACTCCATGAATCCCAGTTAGGCCTGAGTCCAGGTCCCCAAAAGTCTGGGGGAACTCCTCAGGCTGCTGAGGGTGACAGTGTGGGGGCTATGTCTCTGTCCCCCTACCACTGCCACAGCCAAAATCTAGGTTCCTAGGAAGCAAATGTTTTTTAGCCCACTGTGCACAAAGCAGTGTCCCGCTGATGCAGGCTCCCTTTCAGTTAGTTGCCTTTCCTTCCTGCAAAACACGTGAACTGGAAGCAGCCTATCCTATCTGAGGTGGCACACTAGTTGATGACAAGGCTTCATAAAAACAGGAGGGGGGCTCCCCTAAAGCCCTCTGAGGATGCTTGGGTGTAACAGGCCTCCTCTGCCCCTAGTAGCCACTGGAGAGCAGGAAGCCTGGAGGGGCAGGTTATGGGGGTGAGGGTCAGGGTCAGGGTCAGGGTAGGGTTGAGGGCAAGGGTAAGCGTCAGATAATAAAAAAGGATGAGCCAACATTCACCCTCATGGTCACTTTATTCTGTGCTCAGATGGTACAATGACTGTATAAATGTCACTTCATGTGCTCTGATGGCTCCAAGGCATGGCTACCTTCGCCTTGCAACAGCCAGGTCCTAGCTGACTAGCTCTGATAATTCAGAGCCTGCTCCCTATTCCTTTACTGGAAAAGCAATAACAGCTAGCTATTCCAGTTGGAGGGAGGATCTAACTCACATCAGTATCAGCATCACCTGGGTGGGGACCAAGTTTGCAAGTCCAGAAGCTCAGCTTACCAGTGGATCAAGGGGGTCGATGGACTCATGCTCCTTAAGCTGATGGGGGTAAATGGTAAAGCCATTCCTTTCCAATGTTACTCAAATAGGAATTACCCAGATGGGGCTGGAGCAGAGTCATTGGTCTTCTCACATTGCAGGTTCTAGTCACTGGGGCCAGGTCTAGGTTTTTACCTAGCCCCAATCACATGTAAGGATGCAAACAGGAGCCCATTAAAAAAAGAACTTTGGATGTCACTCATCTCTCAACAAGCCAAGGACTGTGGAGGGACCATGTAGCTCAGAAAAACGGCTATCTTCCAGGTGTGCTGGACTCCACTTGAGCCACATTTCTAGCTGCCCTTCTGTTTTTACTTCTGTCAGCTTGGGCATCTGAGGAGCTCCCATCTCATCCTTCTTCAGTGAAGCCTGGGGCCTGCAACATTGCCCAGGTACTTGTGTGTTCAGGGATTTCCCAGAGATTTACCTCCAGTGGTAAGGCCTTTCTTAGAGTGCTAACCTGCCTTTCTGAGGCTGTCCTTTGTATCCTTATTCTCAGAGTCACTATATAAAAGCTTAAATTTACTGGCTGTGGTGTCTATATGATAAATAAGGGGACTCATATTTAGAAATAAATAACTGTCTGGAAGCCAGAGTGAACTGCTGGAGCAGGTTTGTCAGAGAGTTGGTGGCAGTGGACAGCTTTGTGTGCCTGGTGCCACTTCCCTGTCCAGGCCTCCCTGATTGACATCCTGGATCCTCATGTGTTAACTTTTAACCTTTTGCTGGAAAGCTGAGGCCAGCCTGCCTGTACTCCTGGCCAGAGAGCAGGGCCAGCTGCATGTGGGGTCAGCCTCTGACAACTGAAGCAGTCACAGGATGGATGGGGTTCCCTGGGGCCTAGGAGGGACACTGGCTCTTCATGCGTTTCTTCTTCTCCACCGCCAGTCTCAAGGCCTGAAGGAGCTTGTCTTTGTTATTGAGGATATTGTACTCTGACAGCTTTACCAATTTGTCAAAGGCAGACTCCGAGTAAGTCAGCTCTTTGGTGGCATAGGGAGATTTGGGGCCATAGATGTTCAGCTGGCCCAGCTCCAGCTCCTCGGGACTTCTTTCCACACCTGAGGACAGAAAGACTTGATATAAACCCTTATTACAGTTGTTGTAAGGATTCATTTGCACACACAAACACACCTGAACAAAAACGTGTGCATGCATGCATACTCACGTGGGCATGTATACACTACTAAGCTCCTGTGGCAGGGCCACAGTTTATTCATTTCAGGATTCCCCTAGCACCAAGTACTGCTAGGCACATAGTGGAGTATTAGTGACTCAGAGAGTAGGAGACTATATTGCAAGTCATGAGGTGAGAGAGAAGGAGCTCTCTGGGTTCAGGCTGGAGCTAAGCAAGGCCTCTCTTTAGGGACACCAGATTCTCTAAGTCTAAAGACAGCGGCCAGGGGCTGCTGAATGCAGAGGCAGCTTACCTGGAGCCTTATACTTCTGGAAGGTGTCACTGATGAGTGGGAAGAAAGCCACAATGGGGGCATCCAGCTCCTGGGGATTCTCCATCAGGTAGCATTCCTTGAGATTGTTGTCATCCTCCTCGATCGAGTAGCTGGGGAAGGGGATGTTCTGTGTGGTGCAGTACTCACATGTGTGTTTCAGGTGCTGCAATACCATGAGAGGACACATCTGAGTGTTAAGTTCCTGGGCCCAGCTTCTTGATTTCCCTATCCAGCTCTGGTCCCAAACTGTTTTGCCAATGTGTGGTATTTTAAAAAAAAAAAAAAAAAGGACCAAGCGGGGTTTTAAGTTCCGGGGCCAAGTTTTTTTTTTCCCTAACCCGCCCTGGGCCCAAACTTTTTTTCCAAATGTGTGGATTTTAAAAAAAAAAAAAAAAAGTCAGATCAGGACAAAATGCTGAGGCAGTAGGTTGGTGCCATCCAGCTGCAAGCTCCTTCCCTGAATGAAAACACAGAAACTCGACTGCTGCTGCTTCACCCAGACACAGACCTGGGTAGAGGTGAGTGGCATCCTGTGAGGGGAATAGACACTGAGGCCTGGCCGTGGGCAGTCATGGCTGGCTAGGCTCTTAAATGCATTCATAAATTATGGAACTCACAGAATCATAGGGCTGGGTTGTGAAGAAATGTCTTTAAAGTCAGAAAGAACCCTGGACTTAGTGTCAGAATCTCCTAAGTTTTGTATGTGCCCCATGGCTCACTTGGTATATGTGTCTGAAGCTAAGTACTCGCTATCCCTATGCCTCAGTTTCCTTTTCTGTGATGTGTGGATATATTAGCAGTGGTGTCTACTTCAAATTGTTTGTGTGAGGAACCAGGGAGATCATCGGGAGGGAAGCAAACTGGTACTTATTCATAAACTTAGCTTACAATCGCTGTCACTCTGTCATCTGTCTACCTCCTTTCTTCCCTTAACTTCAGGATAGAACTATGTCAAAGTCACCAAAAAAGTGTCTTTCCCTTTGTGAAAGTAAATGAAAGAAAGAAACAATAAAAACCATCAGTCACTAGTCCATTTTTTTGTTTGTTTGTTTTTATTATAATCATATGGAAGCCCATGGTCCCTGGGGTTATATTGAAAACAAGACATTAAAAATTTTCCAAGTTTTTTTTTTCCTAGATGAAGAATGGTCAGATGCAGCAAACGCTCAAAAGTAAGAGTAAGATTGTCATTCACAAAGTAAGTTCCTGTAAACCTCAAGCCCCAGTGTGTCTGAGAGCCATCTGGCTGCAGTGAGGTTCGGACCTCTAGCCCCACACCATGTTGTACCACTTGAGTGCCTCTGATCCTATCTCAGAGCCTGCTGACAGACCACACCATGTCACAGCTGCCCAGGCCTCTGAAATGGTGACACTGACTTTGTGATGACTCAGGAGCAGCTGGGGCTGGGACTGTCTGGGCCTTACTTGCCTTTGTCTGGGATCCTGCAGAATAATTGAGATGGATGATGAGGTCAACTCTTCTCTCTGGCCTGAGGAGGGGTGCATAGCTGGAGTTGACGAAGAATGCGGTGTCCAGCAGGTACAAGTGCTTCGTAAACTGTGTCAGCTGGTTTGGGAGGTGGTCCAGCACTGTGTCTGAAAACCAAGCCTTCCAGTTACCAACCTACCTGGTGCTCTGGTGTCAGCTATGGGTGGAGGGCCGTGGTGGGGACAGAGGACCTTTCTAGAGCTTCCTTCCCTCAGCCTGGGCCTCCAGCTTTCCCCTTCTTTCCACTGAGTTCTATTCCTCTGGGTGGCTGATGTACAGCAGCATGCTCTTGGGCCTTTAGCAAATCTTCTATGGGTTATGCACAGAAAACCCACTATGGCCCAGCCATAGAGCTTGGGGAGTAACAGGGGCATCAGACCATCCTATAAACTAGGGCTATCTCTGGACCCAGAGTCACCTGCTCATTCTGCCCCAGAAAGCGAAGAAAAGAATAACAGTCCATGGGACTGGAGAGATGGCTCAGCAGTTAAGAACACTGGCTGCTCTTGTAGAAGACCCAGGTTTGATTCCCAGCACCCACATGGCAGCTAGCAACCGTCTGTAACTCCAATTCCAGGGGATTAGGTGCCCTCTTCTGGCCTGTATGGGTATTGTATGACATGGGCACACTTCCATACAGGCAGGCAAAACACTCATGCACATTAAATAAATAAATAGTTAAAAAAGAAAAAAGAATAATAGTCCGGGTTCAAGTGATCTTTGTAGACTGTGGCCAAATAAAATACCATGTAACAAGAAAGTGCTGGACTCAGAGTGTGAGAGCCCCTTAGCTCTACCCTTAAAGGCTTAGCAAAGAGAGGCCGTAGGGAGTCAAAGCTATGAGAGTTTAAGCATGGTTCAAGGCCTGGGACTGTGATTCATCACAAGGGGTGAGGACAGAGCTGGGCTATTTCTGCCCAATTGCAACAGGACACCATTCACACTGAAAGGTACCCCCCAGGATGCAATGCAGAAGAAGCCCATAATCTCCCCATTTGTACAATGGAGCAGTCTTCTTCAGCTGGGATTGTCTTGCAGGCTACAGTCAGTAAATTACTTGTGTTTTCACTGCCCCCTGCTGGCCAGCCATATTTGTTCACACCCTTACAGTCAAAGGTGAACCTAGCCCTAAGGAAATTAGCTGTGTTTTACTCCATTAACATGGCCGGAGGAGATTATCTTTCTCTGTGGCAGCCTCAATACCTATTTCCCATTCCTCCCAACAGAGCCAAATCTGGAGGAGCACCCAAGTGGGGGTACCTTTCCACTTGGAGAACTGGCTGTCCTGTAAGTAGTCGGTGTGCAGTTGCAGCCCATACAGGAAGTTGTGGAACTCAGACACGAAGGGCCTATGTGTGAGGATCTCTCGGAAAGCATTGGACAGCCATGACCCTGGGATTACTACTGTGGTTTCCAAAGGGTTAGCATCACATCTGGGGATTTCAGGCAAAAGTGGCTCATCTTCTGCAGGAAGGAAGATGGAGGACCAGTCACAAAAGTTAGAGTAACTTCTGGTCGCCTGGCCCTTGAGAAGTGAGCCACTTTGAGTGCAGCTTCATACTGTCTTTGCATAGGCCTTGGCTCTGAAGCCAAGAGGACCCAGGAGAGGGACATGGGACAGGGGTGGTATGGGTAGTGGAGAGGGAGGTCCCAAAGAAGATGGTGAATCTAGAAATTTGATCTTCCCCTGTGCTTACAGATCTCTAGCCTTACCAGCTCTTGGGATTGTTGGAGGTATCCTGGTACAGATACTACCTATAACCACTCTGCCCTCCTCCCACCTCCAGTGAAGGGAAGATGCTCTAGCCCAACTGCCTTCCCATATCTGTGGACCACAGGGACAATTCAGAAACATATGGCAGGCAAATGGCCCTCAGTTGATGACCCATACCCCACACCTCCATTTCCCAACCTTGAGGGGAAGCTGGAAGTGTCACCCACCAATGTCTTGTAGTTTCTCCCTTGTCCATCTGTAAAAAAACTCTTCTGAGGTGTGTGACAAATTCCAGGCATCAAGCAGGTTCAGGGAGAAGATGCTGCTCCATAAACCTAGAGAAGCAGAGCTGCCATGAGCAACTTTCCCCAGGATCCCTGGGCCTCCCAAACTTCACTGGTTCAGCCTTGGCCTTGATGCTTACTCCATTCCAGGCTGCTCAGGGGCAGGATAGACTTGTATTTCTCTCTCCCACTGGGCAGTTCACTGACTGATGGTAACTGCCTTTGGCTCTTCTCCCCACAGTGCAGGAAGGAGGTACGATGGTGTTTAAGGCAAAGCCCAGCAGGGGCTATGGCTGACAAGTGCAGGCTTTGAGTTCAAGTCTAGTTTTACTCTTTTACCTCAGTTCACACAACTTAAACACTTAGGAAAGTTTTTGGCATACAGTAAACCTTAATATATGTAATGCTAGCTCTTATTTTTTTAATGTAAAATTTATATAATAATACTTGTATTAAAGCCATGTGCGGTGGGTCATACCTGTAATCCTAATAGGGAGGCTAAGACAAGAGGATTGCCATGAATTTGGAACCAGTCTGGGATACATAGTGAGTTCCAGCCCGAGGTACATGAGACCCTTTTAAAAAGCCAACAGTAAGGTTGGGCATAGTAACATGTCTTTAATTCCAGCAATTAGGAAGCAGAGGTAGGTGGAGCTCTGTGAGTTTGAAGCCAGCCTTGTCTACATAGCCAGTTCCAAGCCAACCAGAGTTACATAGTGAGAACTTCTTTAAAAAATAAAAGCCAGAACGGGAGGAATGGCTCAGCGGTTTAAAGCACTTGCTGCACTTGCAGAGGACCTGGGTTTTATTCCCAGCACCCACATGGTGGCTAACAGTCATCCATAATTCCAGTTCCAGGGGCTCACCCTCTTCTGACTTCTGAGGGCCTTGCATGACATGGGTGCACTTATATACATGCAGGCAATACACTCACACACAAAAAATTAGATATTAAAAAAATGAATGCCAATAATAATGTTAATATTCTATTTTTAATTTTTTAAGAAGGGGAGAATGCAAATGCTGGTCTCTCAATGACCACAAATTATGCAGTCAAACATTCTGCATTTGGAGAAATTGCAGGGTTAAGTCAGAACATTGGAAGTGCAATGGATAAGCCTCATCCTGGGAAAAACCACCTCCTTATCACTTTGTGTTTTCCCTGACAGGTAAGTCTATAATGATACTATTTTTTCATTAAAATTCTCACATAGAGGGGGCTGGAGAGATGGCTCAGTGATTAAGTGCACTTACTGTTCTTGCAGAGGACTCAGGTTCATTCCCAGAATCTACATAGTGGCTCACAACCCTCTGTAACTCCAGTTCCAGGACATCTAACACCCTCTTCAGGTCTCCTTGGGCACCAGGCACTACATGGTCCACATACATTCATGCAGGCAAATACTCATACATATAAAAAATATTCTCACGTAGAGATGAGAGAACAGGTATAGAGAAATTAGGTGATTTAGCCAACCTCACACAGCTAATAAATAAGGAGGCAAAGTTCCAGTTAAACTACAGCTTTCAGAACCACATGAGCAGTAACATAGGGGTTCAAGGAAAGAAGAAGGAACTGTGAGCTGGGAGTTTCTATCTGGACTTTAACTTAAGATGGAGCTTGAGTTAAACTTTCTGGACTGCGTTGGTTTGGGATAAGTGGAGTGTAGACATTCAGTTTAAATAAAGGAAGTTAAAATAACTGTTGTTGAGGTTGTAATGATAGGTCTATTTTCTGAGGTCATCCTCAGAAGGGGAGAGCTAAGAGTGACTGTCACAGTGGGCCCCAGTACTCAGTGATCCTGGCTTCTGGGGAACCCGGGACCATAGAATGGGGAGCTGGGTTTCCTCAGCAGCTCTGTCTTTTCCTCTATGGTCCCCTGTGGCCCCTGGGATCTGAGGTGCTGAGTTCCTTAGAAGCAGGCACATTGCTGCCTGGAACTAGACAGGGAGAAAGTGGAGATGACAGCATTCCATATCAGCCTGCCATATCCAGGCTGTTTCTGAGTAGACCCCCAAATAGGCCACTGGAGATCAAGGCACTGGGAGAGTCCTCCAGGGTTCCCAGTGACCTGAGGTTCCTAGTCATGTTTTTCTGGACGTAAAGGGCTTCAGGAAGATTTAAGGCAGTCCTGTCAATCTGGGCCGGTCGGTTCAGGAGCCTCTCCAGGTTCAAGGTGATGTGGCAAATCCAGAAAGTTTAAGAGCTTAAGGCTAACCAAGGCAGCCAGCACTGGGACAAAGATGCTTTCTGTCATTCCCCTGTTGAAAGGCAGGCCTGGTAGCATGTGGTCAAGTACCCTAAGGATTCACCTAGCATGTGGCACATCTCTGGCTCAGGGATCCTCTTCATCAGCCGCCCCATGAAGAACTCGGAGCCAAAGAGCTCAGTAGGGATGAAGGCCCCATACTTTTGCATGCCCACCTCATAGGGGGAGAACTCGAACCATTCTGCATACAGGGAGTAGTGTCAGTCACAGGCAAGGGAACCACCCACACAGCCCTCCCTCCTACCCACAAGTGCTGGCTCCAGAGCCTTGGGGAGCTTGGAATTGAGAACTGCAGTTCCCCTGTGGGACACACCAGGGCATTGAAGCTGGACAGAATACTCAGCAAGCAGCTAGGCTCCAACTTTTGCTCTTCAAAACCAGAAAAACAGGTGCAAAAACTGATCCCTCTAGACTTCCCTCTAAGCAGCCTAAAAATTACCTTAGACTTTTGTCCTTTACTATCTTCATCACTCTCACCCCCTTAACCTCCCACCCCACCTACACCATGCCCCACCCTCCCTAACCCTGCTTCATCAAAGGAGCCCAATAAGCTAAGGGACTCTGCCTGATGGCCCCACTCATGAGGCAGATTTCTTCAGTTGTGGGCACTGATGGGAAGATTGGCAAAGTGCATGCGTGTGTGCGTGTGTGTTGGGGGAGGGCTGTTGGGAGGGGGAAGACCTGGAGATGCAGGGTGCCTGTGCCCACTAAGAAGGGATCCCTCCTAAGTCATTAGCCATCAGTGTTACCTCTGAAATCCTGGTTGCTTACATCATCCTTGACATTGATGGTGAGGTAGATTGGCAGAGGGTTCTGGCCCCGGCATAAAGCAGCACGCTGCTCTGACAGTTTGCATTCATTTTTCTGTGGGAACACCAATGGTTAGGGAGAGGGAGCTTGTAAGGAATCCCAAGGGTCAGTGAAGAATGAGGATAATTTGGACCCTCAACAACCACTTCCTGACTCTGGAGTCTACCAGGTTACTGTCAGCTCTTAAGACACTTGGAGAATGGACCCTATTTCCTTGGGCTGTCCAGCAGCACAGGCTATAGGTGGTCTGGGAATGACCGCAGTTTAGGGATGTCTCTTGGAGTTCTGGGATTCTTCTCATATCTCAGGGGCTAGAGGATAAACTAAGAATGGGAGAGGACACCACTATCCCTCTTCATACCTATTATCCCCTCCCTCCACTGGAACCACAATGCCAGGAATTTTTGTTTTATCAACTTGGTATGTTGGATACCTCCATAAAATTTAGGCGGCAGTTGCTGGGTATGGTGGCTCATGCCTTTATTGCCAGCATTTGAGAGGCAGAGGCAGGTGGATCTCTGTGAGTTCAAGGCCAGCCTGATCTACATAATACGTTCCAGGCCAGCTGGGACTACAGGGAGACCCTGTATCAAAAGACCAAAAAGAAACAACAACGACAACAACAACAACAAAAACTAGAAAGATGTTTCAGTGGTTAAGAGCACTGACTGCTCTTGCAGAGGACCCAGATTGGATTCCCAGCATCCACTTTGTGGCTAACAACCATCCATAACTCCAGTTCCAATGATACAATGCCCTCTTCTGACTTCTGCAGGCATTGCACAACATGGGTGTATTTATACACATACTGGCAATACACTCATGCACAATCATACACATAAAATAAAAATTGCTTTAAAAAAGACTCAAGCTCTGACTCAGGCCCAGCAGCTGACTGCCAGGTAACTGTCCTTGGTTACCCTGTGTGCAGAGGCTCCAGAATCTATATATGGTAAACACACATGCAGCCCAACAACTCTTGGGCCTTCTTTGAAGGAAAAGTGGGTGCTTGTCACAACTGGGCCCTGAGATCTAGGCACTAGAAATGGATGTTCTAGAAGTAAAACCATAGACTCAGGGAAAATCCCAATTCACTGTCAAGGGGGCTGGAAGTTAAGGGGCCCCTGCCTTAGCCAGAAATGAATGTTCTAGAAGTAAAACCATAGACTCAGGGAAAAGCCCAATTCACTGTCAAGGGGGCTGGAAGTTAAGGGGCCCCTGCCTTAGCCAGAATGGAAGAGCAGAGGTCTTCCCATTGCCTCCTAGCCTTGCTTGTCTGGAAACCCTGGCTCTTCTCCACTCTAGGCCCTCAAAATGCTCAGATTTCTGACCTAGAAGGCTTTGGCATTTTCTTTTTTATCATGTGGGTTACTATTGATAGAAATATTACTGTTAAAATTTTTCTTGGTCTTTTGAGATGGGGGGGGGTCTCGATATGTAGCTCTGACTGACTTTGAACTTGTGGCACTCCTGCCTCTGCCTCCCTAGTGCTGAGATTACACAAGCTTTTATTTTAAAAATATTAACTGCTTACTGATAGAATTTCCACTGAGGAACAGTGGATAACCTGGCCCTACAGAGCAGGGCCAGAATTCCACCCCATCCTGCCTGAATTCAGAAGCCAGCACCCTTAACATTTTCCCCTACCCATGCTTCATCATGAGACCTGCAAAGGCAGGTCAGGCGGGATCCATCAAAAGTTATGGATTGGAACGGATGCCTTTCTGAGTCCCCAGGGGCCAGCACAGCTCCTGGCCTGCAGGAGGCAAATTAGTTAAAAGAATGAATGAAGAACAAGTAAATATTAAAGATGAGAGCCAACTCAGAGTGGTGGCACATGCTTGTAGTCCCAGCACTTGGGGGGCTAAAGCAGAAGAATTGCTTTGAGTTCAAGGCCAGCCCAGGCTATATAGTGAGTTCCAGGCCAGCATGAACTATGCAATGTGAGACTATCTCAAAACAACAAAAAAGATGAGACTCAAGTGATTACTGGTTGCTCAAATTACCTAATTTTCCTTTTTTATCCATGTGTATGTATGTGTGGGATGCACATATGTCTGCATACATGTTCACATGCACGTGGGCACATGCATGTATGGTTGTGTGTGCACATGTGTGTGTGTGCCTCAACATCAGGTCCTGACACTGATGTTGGGTGTCTTCCTCAATTGCGTTCCACTTTATTTATTGAGGAAGGGTGTCCTGTTGAACCTGGAGCTCACCAATTCCTACCCAGTCAGTTTTCCCTAGGGATTCCCTGTCTCTGCCTCCCAAGTGCTGGTATTACAGTCAGCCACCATGCCTGACTAGCTTTTACATGGGTTCTGGAGATCTGAATGCCCATCCTTCAAGCTTGTGTGGGAAGTGTTTTATCCATTTCTCTAGTCCAAATTGTCTTATTTCCTAGTAGAGGGAACCTACTAGAAAATAATCTGTTGTCTTGCCTCTTTTTTGGTAGTTCTGGTTTGAATTTGGAGCTTCCAAGTCACCTTTGAAAGAGGAGCCAAGAGCTGGTGGTCTGGATAGGGGTTTGTGGGAAGCTTTGATGTGGTGGCCAACAGCCAAAGGTGTCTCTTCTCTGGGGCCTAATGTGACAGGTCCAGGTATTAGCTGAGCTCACAGTGATATACAAGATCATATCCCTTGGGGACCCCTCTGCTCCACCACATCCCACATGACTGGCATCAGGGGCATCTCAGCACAGACTGGCTCTGCACTAGGGCACATACTGCTCAAATTACTAGCTATTGGAACAGGAAGGAAACTTATGAGGCCCATTCCCTGGTAGCGGTTAAGAAAATGAACACTACAGACCTCCAGTGATCAAGAACATTAGCAATGAAGGGTCTTGGCTACTGTGTTCTGAAATCTATGGCTGTCTATGCTGAGACCATGTTTCCTTGGACCTAGTGTAACAGGGATGCTGAAGCAGGAGACACAGGATATGGCTTACAGCTTCGGCTAAACGACCTCCAAAGACTTTACTGAGACTAAGCCACACAGTACTATAGGATGCTTCTTCCTGACCTTCCTTTCTCTCTCCTCCATGTGGGCTCAGACTGGCAATATGGTTGACAGCTCTCTAGCCTTGCTTAGCTTCCTCCCCATTTTTTCCTCACAGGTATTTTGGCCTGGCTTTCAGAAGACATGCTTCATCTATGTAGGGGAGCACCTAGGCCCCCAATAGGAGGGTCTCAGTCCTCTGACGGGGATGTGAAAGATGACCCCACCATCTTTCCCTGACATGTATTTGGACACCATAAGGTTCTTACAGCCCATGGATGTACTTGCAGGTCTTACCTAATCATTGTGGACATGGAGGTACAGACTCCCCGAGGAAGAAAGACTAGACAGGTGGGACCCAGGAAAGGCTGACCGCTTACCTTGTCCCCCAGACAATACTCGATCAGCTTGCCCCAGAAGTCTGTTAGGGTGACCCTGTAGCCCTCCTGGCTGTGCTGTTGGAGCTCTTCTCGGCATTTGCAGAGCTGGTCTGGGAACAGGGCAGGCATCTTGTCTTTGACAGCATGTCTCCGGGCCTCAAAGACAGCAGGCTCCAGGTTTTTGGAAGACCACTCAGGGTCACTGTACAAGGTAGCCATGGTCCTGGAGAAAGATAAACATGGCTGACAGAGTTGCCCCACCCCTGGTCTGATCAACTTAACATCCAGGTAGAGTAGATGTCCTCTGACCTCCACATGTGAGCTATGGCACAACTTCACCATGGGGAGTCCCAAATCTGCCAGGAGGAGGACCTGGAGGAAAGTGGATAAGGGTAGATCCACATGGTGGGAGACAGGTGAACATTACTACTCATAATCGATTGCTACCATATCTTGAATGCCTACTGTGTGTCAAGTATATGATGTTGGTTGAGATGAGGATTCTGAACTCAGAGCTTTCTGGGTTCAAAACCAGCTTCTACCATTCACTGTGTGATCCTCAATAGGATATTTAACCACTTTTTGCTTCAGTTTCCTTAACGGGAGTGGGTAAAATTGTAATTGATATACCTAGCTCATGCAGTTTTTGTGAAAATCATATGAGTTACCATTGTGTGAAGTATTAAAACAGTAATGGGACAGGGCTGGGGACATTTGATCCAGGTCCTGGGTACTTTCTGCTGTTCCCATGAGTAGGACACTAGCTAAAGATTTGTTTCCTTCTCCTCCTCCTTCTCCTCTTCTTCTCCCTCCTCTTTTTCTTCTTAAGTTATATGTGGACTATGGTGGGCAGAGGCAGCAAGATTGGGCCTGAGGTCTTCACTGTTTTCTGTCTGCCCCACAGTAGTTGGGGGGGGCAGTACTAACCAGCCTTCATAGTTAGCTATGAAGTTAACTTCATAGCTCTCTGGGAGCAGTCATTGAACATGAGCCCTGGTCTGAGTTCAAAATCTAGGTCTGGGGCCATCAAGACAGTTCAGTGGGTAAAGGCATTTTCCTCCAAGCCTGATGACCTGAGTTTGATTCCTGAGACCCACATGGTGGAAAGATAGAACCAACTCTCTTAAGTTGTCCTCTTACCTCCACAGGGCACAGATACACCCCTCCACAAACACACAAATAAGTGTAATAAAAACGTTTTTAAAGAAAACTTTTTAAAAAAAATTCCAGATTTGTGACTCATGAGATGAGTGACCCTGGGTAGTGGTCGATCCTCCTTTCCCCAGTTCAGGTGATCCCTCAGCTGAGGTCTGGATCTGTCTGTCTCAGTTAGCCTGGATGAAGCCTGTGTATCAGCATAGGTCTAAGGGACCCCCTCTTCTTTTCTAGGCTGGTCCCAGGGAAGATGGGAGATGGTCAGATTTCTTCTACTAAAAGCACCTTACCCTCCATAAGGCTTGCTTGTTACTTTTATATTTTCAAAAGGCTTCTAATTCATTGCTAATACTTTATTTAGTTATTTACTTAGTTACTTATTTATTGACAGAGTCTCATATAGCCCAGGCTGGTTTCCAAGGTAGTATAGTATAGCTGAGGCTGGCCTTGAATGCTTGATAATCTTGCCTCTACCTCCTGAATGCTGGGATTGTAGGCATGCACTTCCACATCCAGCTTGCTAATGCTTGTTATAAAAAGAATATTTTCCATCCTTTCTCCCATTGGGGCGGGGGGAGCTTCAGCCTCTCACCCTAACATGCTGACTAAGTCTGAGGTCTTTCCTGTATCTCTCCCTCCCTGTAGTAGTCTTGGGGGTGGGGAGGGGAATGCATGTCCTTTAGTCTCACTGTCTGGGAGCAGCACTTGAGAATGGGTTCTGGACTGAGTTTAAACTCCAGATCTATGACTCATGGCCTTAGTGACCCCAGGAAAACTACTTTGTTTCTTCAGCTATAAGATAACACTGGGAAAGTTATAGTTGATTCTCTTTATCTATGGGTTCTTCATCTATTAATTCAATCAAATGAGGAATGAAATTATTCAGAAAAATTTTCCTCTTTACTGTATCTATGTAGACCGTCATTATTCCCTAGATAAAACAATGTAACATCCATTTACACAGTAACCACACTGCATTTGGTGTTAGAAGTAATCAGAGATTGTATGAGCTATAATACTTGCAGATACCATGCCACTGTATAGAAGGGGCTATCAGCACCTTATGTTATCCTGGGGATATCCCCCTGGATATCCTGTAACCAGTCTTTCAGGGATGCTGATGGACAGTTACGCTTGGTGCAGAGGCAAAAAAGATAATTTTCCATGTCATCTGGACCAAAGCCTGCATGCAGCACCTGAAGAGTAGATACAGAGTCAAGAGGCTTCCCAGGGAAAGTTTACATCTGCTCTCTCCCATGAGAGCTACCTGGAGATTCTCTAGGAAGAAAGGCATAAAATAGGACCCAACCAACAGTCCCTGACAGAGTAAGACACAACCCTGACTGAGAGGACTTCTGTCATCTCAGGTCACTGAATATCATGAACTGGGGCTACATGATGATTTTAGTAGGCCCCTTTCAGTATAAAAATATTTAAAAATCATGTTATGACTGTGTCATATGAAATAACTATATTAATGCCATTTATTGAAACATTTTCATTAACCTATAGATTCTTTTATTCCTTGTGATTTAATTATAAAATAATAAATATCACATTTAAAATATTTTATTTATTATTTTTATTTTATGTGTATGAGTGTATTGCCTGCATGTATGTGAGTGCACCCATGTTGTGCAATGCCTCGGAGATCAGAAGAGGGCTTCAAATTCCTCTGGAACTGGAGTTAAGAACAATTCATAGCCGCCATGTGGGTGCTGGGAATTGAACCCGGGTTCTCAGTGCTCTTAACCACTGAGCCATCTCTCCAGCCCCTAAATATCACATTTTTGTGGGCCCCAGGCACTGTGCCTCCTGTCGGTGTTGACCTTGGCCAAGCTCCTTTTAGAAGTCCAGTACTCATCATCCTTGTTCTCTAGCAGAGAGTGGGGAAGAGGGAACCCCATGGAAAAGACCTGCCTATTCCTTTTATGATGCCTATGGAAGCCTGACTTGATACAAATAGTGGGCAGAGGATGCAGTTAAGGGAGATAAGGCAGAGCAGATGGATCAGCTCTACCCTTCCTGGGAGACTTGGCTCATCCCTGAGAGAGGGCAACTGCATCTCACTAGAACAGTCAGTGGCACCAGGGCTGAGCTCATCGTTGACTACCACATTCCTAGACTGCTGCCACATCCCAGGGAAATAGCCAATAATGGCCAATGATATGGTGGTTTAGTGCTTAATACTGGGAGAGGTCATGCCTGTTGTTATTCCCATGTTATAGATCCAGCAACTGAATCAAAGGATCTCATGCCCCAAATCACACAGCTCTGCATGGTAGAGCTTTCCAAGCATCATGAGTCATTTTTACTTGGAATGGGAGAGGTCAGAGCTTCACCAGATCCCAGACCACACCCATTTGCTACTTCTTTTGGCTTCTACCAAACAGTGACTCCCAGCTCCTTACCAGGTGGCACCTGACAAGCCGGTGATGTAAGTGGAACAGTTCAGGAGGTTCAGCTTCTGCAGCCCCAGCAGGTGGCCATACATGGCAGTCATAGACCTTGCTCCACCCCCAGTGGCCATGATGGCTATTAGTGGTACCTGGGGGCACAGAAGCAGACTGCTGGGAAGAGCTCTGTAGGCAAGGCCAGGTAGGAGAAGACATGGAGTAACAGCAGCTTAACAAGAATGGTGGAAGATAGAAATCTGGATAGAGAGAAGGGAAGGGAGGGAAGCAACAGGAAGGCTGCCTTCATAGAGCAGTGGGCTACCTGGGAGGTCCAGAAGGTGACCTTAGTTCTAATCTCAGTGGTGCTACCAATAAAGGCTGTGCTGCCTAACCCAGGCAATCTATCATGTCAGGGAAAGTCATGGTTGGAAGAGTTCTGAGCACTCACCCCAGCCCTCAGTTAATAGATGCTGAAACTGAAGCCCAGGGAAATGCATGTTGTACTAGTTAGTCTTTGTCAACTTGACATAAACTAGAGTCACTGGGAAAAGGGAAACTCATCTGAGGAATTTCCTCCACCAGATTGGCCTGTTGGCATATCTATGGAGCATTTTATTAATGGCTAATTGATGTAGGAGGGCTCGGTCCCTAGGCAGGTGGGCCTGTACTATGTAAGAAAGGTAACTGAGCAAGCCAGGGGAGCAAGGCAGTAGGCAGTGTTCTGCTATGGTTTCTGCTTCAGTTCCTGCCTTCAGGTTCTGCTTGAGTTCCTGTCCTGGCTTCCCTCAATGATGAACCTGTAAAGTGAAATAAACCCTTTTTCTCCAATAATGCTTTTGGTCAGTGTTTTATCACAGTAACAGAAAAGAAAGCTAATGCACATATGAATCATGAATGGTGACAGACTGACATCTGTAGATAGAAGTGATGTTAGAACAACAGGTCCCAGCCCAGTACATGATGCATGTTCAACCTTTTGTAAAAGCAAAAGATAAACCATATTCTGATGTGGGGATATGGGGAACCATTTCTAGGTTAAGGTGTCCTTGGTGTGTTTCTCTAAAGATGGGGCTGTAAGATCTTTCCTTCAGCTGAAATCTAATCACAAGCTCTCTTCCCATTTATCCCTGCATTCTGGCTAGCCTCAGAAGGAAGGTATTCAGAAGGCTAACCTGCTTCCCAGTCCACCCGAGGGAGGTACAGAGGTTTTGACAAAGGCACCATGGCTTCTTCCAGGTGAGGAGGCAACTGGCCCTGAGAGTAGAAGGGGCTTCTCTCTAGCTTCTTACTACTATCATCTCTGGTGCGTGTCTACATTTGCATACTAGATAGAAAAGAAAACTAGAGGAAGAAGGTAGGATGTGGGGTACATAAATTGGAGGAACTTTCAAATGTTTCCTGGCTCAGTAAGGACTCATTTTGCTGCCAATAAAGCAGTTCAGTCATGTCAGGATCGTGTGTGTGTGTGTGTGTGTGTGTGTGTGTGTGTGTGTTTTCTTTCTCTCTCTTCTACTCTCCCTGGCCCATGAACATGCACCAGGAGCTCTTGTCTTGGCACCAGGACCTTATCAGTTGGAGCAACCACAGAATCGAGGTGGCACTGTGGCTGTCCTGAGGCAGGGGAAGACTGGGGTGGCTGGTGGGACATGGGGTTGGAGGACCAGTGTTTTCTTAAGTGATTCTGAGTCCAGGTCAGTGGCCCCTGCTTACCCACCTCATCCTCAGGCAGGTCTTCCTCCAGCTGCAGCACCTGCCGCAGTGCCTCAGCCACCACCACCTTCCGCTTCTGCAGGAACTCCATCTCTTTTTGGCACAGGCTAAAGCCTAGCCGCACATCCAGCGTGTCAGGGCTATGGGAAAGGGGACCCCGGCTGAGCTGGCCTGTAAGCTTTGCCTTCAATTGGCATATCTGGCTTTCCAGTTCTGCCATGTACCTCTTCTATGACCTGTGCATTCTCATCTGCAAAATGCTTAGCACCCAGCAAAGCCTCAGGCACAGCATGAGATACTGGGCGTAGGACCCAAAGCCTTAGCTGGCTCACAGTAAGCTGGTACTTGTCAAAAGGCCACTGTTGGGCCTCTTTGAACCCTCTGCCTCCTCAGCAAGATCTGGAGTGTTCCAAATGGTTTTCCTAGGTACAGCCACAGCTAGATATGTGTAACAAGGGGTGCTGAGATCCCTTTGGCAAATCCCCTTGGACAAGACTATATGGTGCAAACTCTTCTGAGCACCACAAACCAATCCCCTGTTCCTGTGGATCTTACTAGCCATACTGAGTTCTTCCAGCTCACAGAACCACAGTCCTCCCATATTTGTGCAACTGACAAAAGCTCTCACATCTCTGTTCTTACTGTGTCATCCCCACAGGCCTTCAAGGCAGTTGAGGTGCAAGCTGCCATGACATTCCCAGTACTTGCCCTCTTTTTATCACATCCTTGCCTTGAGTATGTCCAGGCTCTTGGCCTGGCATAAAGAACCTATCAAGACCTGTCCAAGCTCTCCTCAAGCAACCAGCTGGAAAGGCCTCATTGGGCTATCAGAGCCTGATTTCTTAGCCTCAGCATAGGCTTTTGCCTTTATAAGAAGCACCCTCACTTTATCTACTTGCATCCCTGAATCCTCAGAGGACCAGTTCCCCAGGGACTCCAGATAGATATGTTTCCAACCTATCTTGGCTTACTAACAAAGTCATGTGTCCTTAAAGGCAGGGCCTGGGCCTCTCCCAGCACATCTCCTTCTGTGAGGAAACAACTTTCCCTCTCATCCATAGGAATGAATGATGACAGTAGCATTGGTTCCAATTTACTAAGCACCCTACTCACCAGTCAGATCACTGATATATTTCACACGCATTAACCAAAGGGATTCACAAAGAAAACTGAATTACAAATGAGGAAAATTGAGGCTAGAGAGATGGCTCAGTGGTTTAGAGTGCTGGCTGCTCTTGCAGAGGACTCAAATTCAGTTCCCGGTACCCACATGACAGCTAACAACCGTCTGTAACTCCAGTTCCAGGGAATCTGATGCCCTCTTCTGACCTCTATTGGTACTGCACAACACAGGTGCACTTACATAGATGCAGGCAATACACTCCTATACATAAAACAACAGCAACAAAAATATATATACATCTATAAGTAAAGATTATGCTTACATGATTTTCAACAAAGTGCAATTTAACAGGTGAAAGAATGGTCTTTTCAAGCAATGGTAATGGAGTTGACTATTCATATCCAAAAGAATGAAGTTAGACTCTCTACCTTACACCATATTAGAAAATGAACTAAAAATAAATCATAGGAAGTGGAGAGATGACTCAGTAGTGAAGAGCACTGGCTGCTCTTGCAGAAGGTCCAGGTTCAGTTCCCAGCACCCACTTGGTGGCTAACAACCATCCTCAACTCCAGCTCCAGGGGATCTGATGCCCTCTCTGGCCTCTATAGACATTGCATGCACATGATGCAATTATATACATGCAGGCAAAACACTCATAAACATAAATTTAAAAAATAAAAATAAACATGAGCTAAAACTATAGAATTCTTAGAAGAAAACATAAGAGTAAATTTTCCTGCTCTTAGATTAGGCAATGATTTCTTAGATATAGCACCAAAAATACAACTGACAAAAGAGAAAATAGATTTAATCAAAATTAAAAACCTTTGTTTTTCAAAGGGCACCATCAAGAAAGTATAAAAACAGCCTACACAAAAGGAGTCCATATGAGACTCTCGTCCAGAATGTACAAATGTTTACAACTTAATAAGACACCAGAGTTCACTGAAAACACAGGTAAAGGATTTGAATATGCACATCTCTAAGAAGCCCTACCACTGACCAGGTAAGTCCAAGAAAGATGCTCAACATCATTATCCACGGAGGAAATGCAAATCAAACCACAACAAGATACCACTTCACACCTACTCCTCTGAATAAGTTAAGGGGAAGGACAGAAAGAGGATACTTTACCAGGGTGTGGACTTCATGTGTAATTCAAAGTTTTCGCCCTGAGGAACAGAAAGTGAGATGTTTGCCAGGGATGACTATTTGGAGCCTTGGGAGCCCAATCAGAGGTGGAGACTCACTACATGGCCCACCCCTTCCTTGACCCAGCACACATGTGTGTTCACACTCATGTGCACATGTATGCATACACGTATGTATGCATACATGCTCCATCCCCATAGTCCTCTTCTAGACATGACCCCTCCAGTAATTTCACTCATGTTTCCATGTTCCCTGGTTCTCACTGAGGCCCACAAGGCCATTCTGTTCCATTTGAGTGATCCTGTCTGCTACCTCCCCCGTGTGTCCCTGGGGACCTTTCCCAGACCCAGGTGCTCACCACAGGCAGGGTCACTGCCTGACCATCAGAAAGGCAATTGAGGGATTGACAGACAGGGCCATCCTTGTGCGCTCCACAGCAGCAAAACTGGAAGAATGGGTGGGCTCTATGAGGGGATGAAGGGCTCTTCTGTCAGCACCCCTCAGCCTTCCTCTCCTCTTCCTCCCCCCAACTGTGGCCTCCTTGTACCCTGCAGTTCCAGCAGCTCTTAGGCACTTCTACAAGTAGCTGGGGCTGGAAGTACTTAGGGTAGTGGAAGCAGGCAGGGTTGGGGCAGCAGGGTTCCATACAGGGTGAGATGCACTGGGTATTCTCAAAGGAGTCTGTTACTGCCACCAGGAGGTCTTTAGCTGGAGAGAAGACAAGAGGTTAGACCCTGGGTAAGCTTCTTATCTCTGCTTCCCACTTGGTCCATCAAAAAGCCTATTCTTGAGGTGCCAGGAGGGTCCCACAGTCACAGTCACTCTTTAAAATGCCCTGGGCAGGATCTTGAAATCTGTACTTTAATAAGGCTTGTGAAGGATGCTGACAGATGTAGTCCACAAAAGGCCCTCTGAGATGCCAAAGAGAAGTCTCAAGACTAGATCTCTTGGTTCTGTATTGCCAGAAGCCCCCCAGATCACCTGCCCACTGCAGAGAAAGCAGGCTTTCATCAGACTGTTTGCAAACAGAGGCCTGTCTATCCTCTCGTTCTGCCCATGTCTGTGGAGCCCTGTTGTTCTCCTCCTAGGACAGCTGTTAACCTGGCTTGGGAAGGATGGGAAGAGGTGGACAGTTATATCTGTGACTCTTTAGATTCCTTCTAGTTATGAAGTGCTGTGAGTTGGGAGCTGGCTAGAAGAAAGGTGGAGTTAGAGGACCCCTGAGAGATGCAGTGCCTACCTGCCCCAGGTGCTGCTATTGGACCCGAGCCAGCACTGAGACCTTGACACTTCTTGGGTCATTTGGATTCCTGGTAGAGCATGCCCTTTATAGAGAAGGCTGAGCAGGACAGGGGTCTGAGGGCCAGCGCAATGATTTTTGGCTTTGATTCCTAGCCTGAGGAAGTTCAGACTAGGTTGGGATAACCTGGTTCCCTGAGTCCAGGAGAACACTGGGCCAAGCTGAGTTAACCTTGATGAAGCTTAGAACCAAGACTCCTAATCCCCGCCCCAGTAGGCACAGCAGTCAAAACTCACTTTTTTTCCTCTTCCTCTGCCTCTGCCTCCTGGATTCTGCATGAACCTCCAAGCAAGAGACTTGACGAGACTGTAACAAAGTAAAGAGGATCAAGGAGAGTCTGAGCACAAGCCACCTCCTCCCACTTCCAGTCCCAAAGGTGGAGGTGAAGACCCAGATAATGAATTCAGGATTGGTCAGCCTTGAGCTGATGCTGAGTATGCTGAATGTGCTCCCAACATTTCTGAACCCAGTGATGCCTGACTCTGAGATGGGGAAATGAAGCTGTCCAGTAAACTCTAAGATGCATATCAGCTTGCTAGGAGACATGTTCTTAGGAATGTCAGGAGCTGACCTAAGGCAGTGTTCAGCTTCCCAAGTGAGAACTTGGAAGGAAATAGCTTTCCATGAAGCAGAGAAGATCCCAAACCTTTATAACATGTTCCCAAATACTCTGCTTTTTGAGGGAGAGATTTCCTGGAACTTCAGAAGTTGAATACATTCAGTTAAAATATTTTACCAGGGGCTGAGAGATGTTTTGGCAATTAAAAGCATTGACTGCTCTTATGGAGTACATGGGTTCAGTTCCCAGCATCCACATAGTAGTGAACAACCATTGGTAACTTCAGTTCTAGGAGATCCAATGCCTTCTTTTGGCCTCCACAGATATTGCATGCATGGACATACTTAACAAACATGCAGGTAAAGCATTCATACACATAGAATTTTAAAATATTTGTATCAGGTTGGGCATGGTGGAATACACCTTTAATCCCAGCACTCAGGAGGCAGAGGCAGGTGGATCTGTGAGTTTGAGGTCAGCCAGGACTTAACAAACATGCAGGTAAAGCATTCATACACATAGAATTTTAAAATATTTGTATCAGGTTGGGCATGGTGGAATACACCTTTAATCCCAGCACTCAGGAGGCAGAGGCAGGTGGATCTGTGAGTTTGAGGTCAGCCAGGACTACATAGGGAGCCCCTGCCTCAAAAACAAAAGGGAAAAAAATTACCAGCAGCTCAACTATGAAATGCTTTTCAATACTGAAAGTATGCTTGCAGAGGCATTGGGGTTGTGAGTGACTAAGTCTAAGAAAGGAGTCATCTTTGGGCGACATAGGGTGCTAGGTAAGGGTGATGCCCAAATACCCCCTCCCTGAGTCCAGAGTGCTGCCCCATCTCTGGGTGCACCCCATTTGATTAGCCAATTAGTGTGACTCTCCCTGGACTCAGGATGGGATGAGGCCCTAAGCTGGGCCCATTGTCTTTTCATCTGAGAGCAGCAGCCAGACATGGTCTCTGGTGCTACAGGAACCCAGAAGGACAATTACCACAAGCACGCCGTTGGTGGTGAGGGTTTCCGGAGGAGAAGGACTGAAAAACAAGATGAGAACTCCTGGTCAGCACAGCAACAGTATTGTTGATTGATTCCTTACAAGGGTGACAAAAACAAATCAAATCAATCATAAAAAAAAAAAAAAAAAACCAGACCTTTCTCGGTTATCATGAAAAATATCTGCTTAAGAATCCTTAGGTTTGGGGTCTAGAGATCTGACTCAGTGGTTAAGAGCACTGGCTACTCTTACAGAGGACTCAGGTTTGATTCCCAGCACCCACATGGCAGCTAACAACCATCTTCGACTCAAGTTCCAGGGGAATCCAATGTCCTCTTCTGACCTCCATGGGTTCACTTACATACACACAGGAAAAACACTCACATAATAAAAATAAATCAAAAATAGAATTCCATATACACCAGCAGTCATTTCCCCACTTCCCCTTAAGCTCCTCAGGTAGAAACTATCAATGTACTTTGTGTCTTTGTAAATTTTCTTATTCTAGACTTTTCATATAAATGTCAGTTAACAAATGTTCTTTCGGAACTGACTTGGTATTTCATGTCTTGTAACTAAATAATAAAGCACTTGCTACACAAGCCTGGTGACCTGAGCTCCATCCCCAGAACCCAGGTAGAGGTGTCAGGAGAGAACGAGCGCCCAAGAGCTGTCCTCTAACCTTCACACATGTACTGTGGCATGTGTGCCTACCACGATAATAACAGTGTCTTAAAAGGTGTCCACAGGACTGGATGCCTGGGGAGGCTCTAAGAAGAGTCACCTTCCTGCCTCTCGTAGCTTCTGTAGACTGCCCATGTCCCAAGCTCAGTTCTCATCAACAAAGGAACAGGTTATGTTCCTCTCACATCAAATCTCTCTGGCTTCTTCATCTGCCTTCTTCTTCCACATTTAAGGGACCCCTGTGATTAACTGAACCCACCTGAATAGTCCAAGATAAGATCCCTATTTTAATGTCACCTGATTAGCCATGTTAGTTCCACCTTCTCCCATAATTCCTCTTTGCCTTGTAATGTCAAATATTACCAACTCCAGAGATTAGGTTGTGGGCATCTTGGGGGCCTACGTCAGTCTAGAA